ACCCCGAGTTCACGTTATACGAATGCGATGTTGCTCTCTAGTTGCTACTGAGGCTTCGCTCGAGAGCTTCCTTGCTGCATAGATCAGTCAATCTCTCTCTCCCCCTTTGAACGTGTCGTCCCTTTCCTTAGAATCGCTGCCAAAATCTGCCATAATTCATTTTGTTTTTCCGATTATATCGTTTTACTCTTTTTCACTCTTTCATTCTCTCACTCGTTCGCGATGTTTAATTTTTATTTTCTTTCTCTTTTTTTTACACATCTAGACTATCTAATGTTCCGCACGTAATACTTTATACTTTCTCTTCAGTCATTTAAAAGAATGATCATTGTTTATGATTTAATGGTATGTTAAAAATACAATAATATTCAGCACTTTAAATTCTCGATAAGAGCTTTGCTCAAAATTCATTTGAAATTCAATTTAATAAGAATATTAATTAATAAATTTATTTTATTTTTTTTAATAAATTTAATTTAATTTAATAAATTAAAAAAAAATAAAAATAAAAAAAATAAAAAATAATAAAAAAATAAAAACAAATTAATAAAAACATACACAAACATTTGCATAATATGAATTTGCTTACGTTGTATCTGCAAACGGATATTTTCATTTTAGCTTATCAAAAATTACTCTGACTAAACATTTAATCGATCATGTAGTACATAATTTGTATCGTAGAAATAATATAAAAATTATATTGTTATGTTAAAATTTTGTTTTAATTATTAAAATAACATTAGTATTTACAATTGCATGTAACTCTCCGTTGTATAAATAAATTAGATTAATTTTTTCCAAAAAGTAAAATGACAATATTGTAATTATATTTTTTGTTAACAATTTAATATAATAATGTTTATAATGTTTCATTTATATACCACACTTTTTACTTATTTCAACGATTCTACTTATAAAAAAAATTAACATATAATATAATCATAAAATAAAAATAAAATATCCTTCTATTAATTATGAAATTATGACAAATTAGTATAATATATAATTATATATTATATATAATTTTTATTAAATTGAATTTGCAATAAATAGTTACATAATTTAAAAACCCAAGTAAATACATTTATTTTTTGAAAAATTGGATAAAATGAACAAGTAATGAAAATAGTTCCGAATTTAAGATTATAAGTCAAAATATTAAATCATAACTGACAAAGCTGTAAAACATTAATAGGTATCCCATAACACGTAAGCTATATTATTAAATGTATAAGGACTAGCAATTCAACTTATAACTTTTTCACTTATCTTAGTACATTCAAAAATCGCTTGAACAATTATTTTTTATATACGTATGTATTTGTGGTTCAAGAAGTAAATGATCAGTATATGTCAAGATTAGAGAATTTAAAAAATTATATTCAGTATATGATTATATTGATTATAATTGTATAATTATAAAAACGAGCTCGTATATGCTAATTAATAATTATGATGCAACTATTATAGTTATAATTATATATCGATACAAATATATATGCAAACAATAACTTAAAAACCTTAAATAATGAATGACATAGTAATTATTTATAAAATAAATAAATTAAAATTAATCAAAATATATAAAATAGAAAAATGAAAATAATTACATTCTTGATTATAAAAACAAAAGAAGAAAAGAAAAATAAAACGAAATTTCAGATATTGGTAATACTGGGTGCTACACGTATTACAATTAGTTTAATTATCCTTCGTTTTTTACTATGAATAATTAGATCTTCTTTTTTAATCATTATATTCCAAGAAAGCAATCCCATTATATTATCTAACTGTATAGCAGACTTGTACATTAGGCATCACAGTTTTTCGCATGTATCAATTATTTAGCCCGTAAAAATTTTCTACTGAAGCAAAACTGTTTGCTTTACGTTTCTTAAAAATGCAATTATTTGTTGACTATACATCTTTTATGAAACATAAGCTACTCTTAACTTGTAATAGTGTTGTTCTACTTTATAATATAAATAATTCAATCAATAATTATGAAAATGATGATAATGTGGGTAAACATTCATATAAATACATGCTTTTATATTTTTGAAGAATTTTCCAAACTAGGTCAAATATAATAGAATGAGTGAAAAATAACACGATGAAGAACTATTTTCAAAACGTAATTGAAATATATTTAAATGATATTAGATTACACAAAGTATTATAGTTGCCATGACCGATGAAGTAACATTACTTTTTAAAATTCTACTATAAATGCTACTATATTACGTATGAAATAAAGAAATTCTAGTTGATTCATTAATTATGATACAGTTGTTTCAAAATATTTGATTAATTTTATTGAATGCTTTGTGTAAAAAATTGAATAATTATTCTTAATTGTATTAAAATGTTGCTATTTTAAATTACTTTTATTATATTCAACATTTAATAAAATGCAGGTAATAACTCAAAGTATTGAAAATTTATAATTATGCATTAAAATAAAATATAAAAATATAATTAATTGTAGATTTTTAAAGGATTCTATCCACTTAATTAAAATGTATAAACATTTAACATCGTATTTAAATGAATAATTACCAATGGCAGAAATAAATATAAACAAAACAGTAAGTTTATTCGAAAATTATAACTAAAATAACATTACATAAATCGGGTATTTTCCACTTTTTTAATATTAATATGAATTTGTATTAATAAGATATTGATATTTATTAAAATAGAAAACTCAAAATCCGATAAATATAAATAATTAGTTTAACTTAATGAATTAAAAGATAAATTTATTGTATAAATAAATCGCTAAACTTTAGTGTAACTAAACACTATATTTATTTTAATATAGAAAGATCGTAAAGAAGATTACAATAGAACTCTAGTTTTAATTAATCAAATTAATATGAAACGTAGTATCAATGTAACTTTAATATAAATTTAAGTATTATTTTCTGATTATATTCAAAAAATTAAAACAATATAAAAGTAAATTGAAATAATAAACTTAAATTTATATAAATTTAAATTTGAAAATAGTTTATTACAAATTCAAAATTTATATTTACACTAGAATAATAAATGTTTATGTTAAAAAAAAAACAGATTTTATAATCAACAGTGTATTAGAAATATTATTTTTCACGTTTTTTCTTAAAATGATGAAAATTTTAAATACCGATAAGTCGATAAATTGCTAAAAACAAAAAACATTGCAACAACTCAGAAATTAAGAAACACAACATTATTCAATCTTACTTGAATATACATGGTCATGTTAATAATCGCACATAAATTTTTGCCTATGTTTATAAGAAAATTTAAAATAAGTAATTTTTAAACGATTAATAGTTGACATGATATAGTATTAACATTGCATTATTTTTATTGCTTTTTTGATATAATAAATTTTTCGGAAAATTTGTTATTTGGATAAAACTATAATTGCAATTTAAAAATAATTTTAATATATAAATTCATGTTGTATTTAAATTTATAATATATTCCTTGGTCATTGTTTATTGTAAAAAAATACTATTTTTTAATTTTAAATTAAATATAATAATATAATTTGTTGTTTAGTCGAATTCGTTTTTGATTATTAATGACTATGTACTTGCATTTAAAATATAAATAAAACTACCGATCTAGTCGTATATATTTATGTACTTAAATTTTCAAGCATTCTTAACTTTTATTGAAAGTATTGCAATATTACAACAATATACATAAAATAAGATTCCTAAATATTAATAACATTTCTAATTGATTGTTCAATAGATTTTAGACAATATTGCTAAAGTAAAACATAATATTTGAAGTATTTAAATTATATAGAAATAAGAATTAAGTTATCTATGCTATTTTCAATCGGCATAGACAAAAATATTAATAAGTAATACAAATCTTAAAAATTTACTTTCTTCTTTCCTCGTCTATTAATGAATTTGAATTAAGTTAATATTATTTTAAATTTGTAATATATTGTTTTAATTTATATGTATGCCAAAGAATTAAAATTGTCTGTAAATAATTTAATTTTTTGTAAAAAAAAAAGGTTATTTTATTATGAATATATTAGAAAATTATACAATTTTTAAACTTATTTACATAATACCTTTCATTCGATAAATTTAATAATTCTTAGAATATATAAAACTTGAATAAATTAGTTTTAAAAATAATTCAATTTCTTAATTGTAGCATTTTCTAGCTTATTAATTATTTTACTTTTACCTATAATTTATTTTTTAACATAACCTCTAAACTTCCACTCTCAGCTATTTTTCAAGTTAATTATTGAAGAAAATAATTTATTCAAATATAATATATTTTACTAAAATTCAACATTGAAATTTTTGAATTATTAAATATATATTTATGAAATATATAAAATATGGATTGTTTACAATAATTTACAGAAACTATTAATATTTATATTAAAAGTATAAAAGATGTTTTTATGAAAAAATGCTATAAGAAACATATTAACATAGAGAGCATATTTTTTAACACATAAAATAATTATTTATATGAGATCAAACTATTATTAATTATAAACTAAAAAATTATCAAACTATTTATTTTTATATTAGTTAATCACTTTTTATAATAAAAAATATATTAATACATAATATAATGTACAAATCATAAATTATTATATTTCCTTTTTTAAATGAAAAAGATAATTTAAATTCAATATTATTAATATTATGGACGACAAATAATTGTACTATTATTTTTTCAATCAGTTAATTATATATTTATGGGGTGAAATATAAATAAATTTTTAATTGTGTAAAATTAACTTTTTGAATTTAAAATATAGAAACATAAACAATTGATTAAATATTAAAATGGTACACAGTACAGTTATTTGTGAAAAAACATAATCAAGCCATGTGCTTCCCGGCAATTTTGTCACCGTTGGAATTATTAATGATTTAAAATCATAATATAATGAAAATAAATGATAGCAATAAAAATTTAATTAAACAGCGACCAATATTAATAATTCAACTCACCCCTATCGAATTTTTTTCCTTCTGGATCAATATCTTTAACGTTAAAAATATCCTCAAACAGAACGCCTGCCATTTTGTCAAGTAGTTTCCACTGAACTAACAAGCGTTACAATCTGATGCATCAGTTAAGTAGATAAATCAAAAAGCGTTACGGTTGAATATTGTTCATAATGGAATAATAGTTGTATTTTCATGCGTTTAAAAATCAGGTTGATTTAATAAATTTAATATAAGAATTTTTTAATTTTTAGAAAATTTAAATCTTTTATGCATAATTTAAACAATAATATAATTTTATATAAGTGAAATACATTTTATTATTTTATATCCATTAATAAATATGGAATGCTAATATATAACCGAATTTTATCATACAAGTAATTTATTGTTTTAAAATAATATAATTATATTTTTATAGTTTTGTTTAAATTTATTTTATTTTTACAAACAATATTAATTTTATTTGAATTTTAATTTAATCAAATAACATTTGTATTTACTTCAAATTATTTAAGAAATTTATATATTATTACTAATCACAGTGCAACTAAGAACGACAATGTAAACTTTACAAAAGAAACATACAAAACAAATTTAACCAATCGTTTGAAGTTGAATATTAAAGTATATTATTTTTTTAACTAAATTTATTTCATAGAAAATGAATGATAATGAGACAGATATTTTACTTGATAAAGATAAAGATCAGGTAAGAAAAATATGATCGTTTGATACAATATAAAAATAGAACAAAGCAATATTGTACCACTATTTGAGGTTAATTATTTCAAATTATTTGAATTTTTAAATTTAATAATGATACATCTATATAAAATGTTTAATATACATTTACAATCAAATTTATTATTCAATTTTATTTATTCAGAATTATACTTTATATTAAACATACACCAATAATATCATTTCAGAACTCAGATTTGAAAATAATTAAAATAAACTATTTTAGTATATGATGTGTATAATTGTAGTAACATATACCTAAATCAAATGTAATTAATATTTCAAAATAAAATACATATATTATATATTAATTAAATATATGTAATTTTTGGACTGAATACGTAAGGAGTTAGTTTTTAACTATAATTATCCTCCAAATAAATTATTTATATATTAGAATATATTTAATACAATCCATATTTTATTTCAGAAGGAAATCAGAAAAGAACTGTCTGAGATGAGTTTTGAAAATTTACATGAACTCAAAGAAAAATTAGGAATAAAAGTTTACAATACAGCAATATTTGGACTAAAAAATGTAAGAACAATTAAATTTAAACGAGAAAATAAAAATAGACCTCGCGAAGAAACATCAAAAAAACAGGTTTCGCGATTTCGTGAAGTAATACCTGTTAAAAAAAGAATGATAAGAGATCCTAGATTTGATAGTCTTTGTGGTCAATTTAATCCAAAAGCTTTTAAAAATTCTTATTCATTTCTTACTGAAGTTCGAGAAAATGATTTAAAAAATTTAAAAAGAGAATTGGAGATTGAGAAAGATGATAAGCAAATTAAGAAAATTGAGTACCTAATACAAAGGTTGCAAAATCAACTTACTGAAGAGAATAAACAAGTAGAAAGAGAACAAAAAGTCAAAGAAGAAAATCAAGAAATTGTATCTGCAATAAAAACTGGGAGAAAGCCTAATTTTAAAAAGAAATGTAAATATTTTATTTATATTATAGATGATTAATGCAAAATTTTATAATAATTTAACATTTTTGTAATTTAAAGCCAATAAACGGATTATGAATTTGACTTGTCAATACGAAGAACTGAAAAAAACAGGTAAATTAAAAAAATATATTGAAAGGTTAAGAAAGAAGAAAATAAAAAAGGATACAGATAATGTACAATTAGATAATCCAGATTTAGAATACATTTGAAATTTTATAATTTTCTATATTGTGATGATTAGAAAATACATTTCATAATGTTATAAATGAGTTTTAAAAATTATACTATACCATAAGAATTGTATTTCATATTGTACTTATATTTAATATTTTGTAATTAAGAATAATAGTATATAATTAACAAGAATTTGGAAATTTGGAAAATGATGCAGAATTATCAATACAGTTTAATATACTGGGATATTATTTTCATACTAAAAACATAAAGTATTATTGTTTTTAATAAATTTTATTTTTAAAGTAATTTTTAGACATTAAATGTTTTAATTATTCTTATCTTTTCATAAAAATTATAAGTTCTTTATTTTATATCTGTAAATTCAATATTAGTTATATTATAAAAATATTTTATATAAACAAAAACCTATTTTCTATTTATTTAAATCCATATTTTAAAAAAATGTTATTAAATATATTTTTAATAATTACAAAATTCTGAAGATTGTTAGATAAGGTAAAATGTTTAAATTTGTATAATAAAGTAATGGAATATTTTATACCCACCGTTGTTTTTTGTCCTCTGCAATTATAATCAAATAAAAAATTGTTTTAAATATTAAGGCTCTGAATAATAGATGCTGCTATTAATTATGTATTTTTTATTTAACATCAAAAGTAATGACACTTGGGTTGGACAATGTCTCTCGTTTGTTCTTTCTTTGTATTTTCTTAATGTATTTATGTGTGAAAACAGAATTTATTGGTATAATAATTACACGAAGAAAAATGTCAATAAGAAATTATGAGAATTTGATTATAGAGCAGTGTGTTTTTCTCTCTATCCTTATTTCACTGTAGATTCGCAATTATAAGTTACCATCGCGCGCGCACTTTTGTTTGTAGTTCCACCTTCATTCCTGCCTTAGATAACACTTTGCTTTGTTTTAATTCTCGTGTGTATGCCGATCATGGAATTCATTAATTGAAATTTCACTGAAAGTTATTTAAAACTATACGAATTACAAAAGTAGGAATTGTTTATTGCTAACTCCGCCTATTTTGCCATACTATTATGAATCATAAAAACAAAATGTAAATGACAGTTCCATAAAAATCTGAAGATTTACAGAAACTTGATTACACGATATCAATATAATACAATTGTCAGTGTAAAATGTTAAGGTATGTAAACGTGATCATAATTCCGGTAAGAATCTTAAAGAATTTTACATCGGAATTTGCGTTGTGTCCGTGTGGATTTAAAATTTAGGATCGGTATTTACGTTCAAAATGCTATTATTGAATCGAATAATTGAATTAACCATTGAATAATCCCCAGTCCAGCATAATTTAATACAATTTAATCATGATAGCCGGCTAAAGTGAAAATCACATATTAACATGTTTTCATTTTCACATAAGCGTCTACTTTACTTTTTTAACAATACACTTTTCTTAGCCGTTTATCCTTAACAGAAAATTTAATAAGCACTTTGATGGAACCTACAGAAGCTTAATACTCTTTGATGTCATATAACTCACGAACGCGTGTATACGTAGGCATACTTATGTCGCTTGCTCTGCTTGCTTTTTCCTTGTTTCTCATTCCTTCGATTTTTTCTGTGTGTATGGATGTGTGCGTGTGTACGTCTGTTATTTCGTTTTGTGTAATTAAATATCAATGTTTTATTCGTGTATTCGGTGCTAAGAAAAAACGCAAAAGTGGAGGGAGTAATTGGCGTGTGCATTTGTGCCCGAATACGCATCATTAGGCTCAGCGCGCAAAAACACACGTACTGTTTTCCGACCACGTACGATCTATCTGCCTGTTCTTTCAATTATTTAAAATATGTACAATATTATTAAACATTATTCAATATTTTTTTATTTTTTGTTACTGTTTAAATCATTGTCATGTTTACATCATTTTCATAAATCATTTAAAATGATAAAGTCGCAAGTGTATGGTTCCGGGTCATGTATGTATGTATGTTGAATGGATGGCGGGCTGCGCAGGGCCGAAGTTTTTCACGTGCTTTCCGTAAATCGATTACCATTTATTTTATTTGATTCGCCTTCTTTTGTAATTTTAAATTAGAAAAATGAGGACTTGTAAAATTATTGTCAATTCAACCCATAAAAAAGTAAAAGGGCAAAAATTTTCTCTATACTCATCAATGATTTATCGAAAAATCAGTGTTACTCTATATTATTATCGTTTATATTTATCATACGAAACGATGATGAATATCGCTAGTGCATGTATGTAGTTAAAAGCGTTTGCATGTAAGCAGTTGTAAATCTGGAATATAGCAAGTCGATATTATCATATAGATTATTATCCGTACGCATAGTATTATATTACATGAACATACATTTATAAAGCTTGATTCATGTTTGAAAAAGTATTCATATACTTTTTTATGTGGTTGAATCAGTTACTTCACGATGTGAACATTGTTCTTTTTGGCTGAATACGAGAATTTTGTTCTACCTAATTGGTTACTTTATCGTTTGCCAAATCTACATGATTATACAAAGTGAAAAATTGAAGTAACTCGATTTCACGTTCATTATTTGACTTTTATTATCTTTCTCGTTGATATTGTGGATTATTTTTCTATTATTTCATAAGAAATCTCGAGTTTTCATTAAACTAGTACTCAACAAACAATTTAATAAATTAATACAAAGTTGAATATACGAATAAATATGGAGAACAAAATTGAAAGATCTGATTACTAAACAAATAAGTTTATATGCAATATACGTATGAGTATGTATACAAAAAAGACCGATTTAAATGAAACAAAGTAGCCAAAAAATCGATTAAAATTTTATTAAAATTCATCGTGGTTACGAACACTTTTTTTAAGCACATATTAGTATATTATAGAGCCAGAATATTTATATAAATAAAAAAAGCAATATATGTAAAAAAAATATTAACGACATCATTTAATCAGAAAAGAGCCAGAAGTATTAAATTACAAGTGTAAACAATGAAGCGTCTTATCATCCCGTTGAGTCCGTCACAAGATCATTAGATATTCGTATGAATGGCGTTACGCCAGAAAATGTTTCTTGTGGTTTTTTCTTTTACTTTTTGTTTACTTTGTCAATTTTAATCTATTCTCAACTTTCTTATATACTAGTCGTTTACGAATTATTATTTATGTTATTTTAATTTATTAAAAGTTGTTCCTATCCTTTTATTTTTTTGTTGCCTAATCTATTATACCAACTTCATCTTATTATCTTCCGTCGTCGTTCTATTTTTATTCCATTATATACTTCACTTTCATTTTTTTCTTCAATAACACAATCTAGACTAAACCATGTATAATAATTACATCTAATAATATCTTACTGTAATATGTAATATATTATCGTTACTGTTCTTATTAATTATATAATTATAATAATTATTATTAATCATTATACTATAAATGTTTAAATTATTAGCCTAAAGTGAGAGGCGACATTCGAAGCATTTTGTTTTTGTTGGCCTCTCCTACTCAAGGCCGCCGGATTGCGGAACACCCTGTGCATTAACAACTGTAGAATAGTTTCATATGTAGTCGCTTTCGATACTTAAACAAAACTTATGACGCCTTTGTTGTTATGAATGTTTGTTCTCTGTCTCAATTCTCTCTCTCTCACTCTCTGTCCATGTTTCTGTCTGCGTGCATTAGTAATATAATAAAGGTGTTATGATAGTCTTCAACTAGTCATTTTGTGGTATCTCTACGATTGATTGACATGAACAGACATCAAGGAGAGGATCGTTTTCTGGAGTTACAGAGTTACGAATTTGATCCGCGAGGCGATTTCTTCCGTTTCATTCTTTTCATGTGTTCGTACCAGTCGCGCGCGCTCTTCCACGCCTCTCCGTCCCAGCGCGTTCAAGTATCTACTGCGAAAGCGAATAAGTCCAAGAAAGAAGAGGAACAGAGGAAGAAAGTAATAATATCAATTCTGACTCCCCGTGATCGTAAACGGAGAATATGTCAGGGGAGCTAAGGATGGTGCTTTCACCTTGGAACTCCAGCGAAGGCGTCCACACGCTGGAGCCTCTCGACCCATATCGCCACGTGCGATTACTTTTTTCCCTCGAATGCGGTAGGAGAAAACATGGCCAAGACTTCGCTATTGCGACAAAAAGCCTATAAAAGTACCGTTCTATGCGTCATTGCAGGAATACAGTGTCGAAAGTGGATCTTCGTTCCTATCGATATTGACACATCGACGCTTACATTTCTTCACGTGAGTCTAGAAGTCGTCGCGACGGCGAAGTATGTTTTCTACTTCTCATTCTTTATATTCAACAATCGTTAACACACCTGCAAAAGGAATCGTAACACAGAAATTGTTGTTCTGCAGCGATGGCTTTATTTTTCTTCTTTTTTTCCATGACATATTTTAAGCAATTCTTTAAAAATTAAAAAAAACTCACACGATCTACTTCGATATCTGTTATGATACCTCAGAAATGATTAGTTAAAGATTCTACGAATTCCTAGTCTCTCCATTTGACATAATAACAAACATGTAAGTCTTTTTTGCAGTTAGAGCCTTATATTGGAGTTTACCTTCCGAATATAATGTAAAGGAGTTATGGGACAGGGTGTTCAGCGTTCCGGAATTCTCTGATTTTTTCAATATTTTATCATTTTGTTTATGTTGAGACTTTGTTTCCTATAACGACCTTTCACTGTCTTTTACTATCCGTTGGTGTTGCCTAGTGGTAGTAACCTACAGAAAAACCTAAACGTTACGTTTACGTATTTATTTATTTTTCGCAATCTCTCACTTCACTCTACAACAGCATTTAACTTATAACTTTTTTTGTTAAATTTTACTTTTGTATGTAATTTGCAACTTTCAAATTAAGTTTTCTCTACTTATACCTTTCCAATTTTATAACTATCATCGCATGTATTACAATTTGATCATTAAATTATTTTTCATAATATTGTTCTTCCTAATCAATTATATTAACGCTATTCCCTTGTATATTTATACTTATTTTATCCTTTTTTATTTTTTTCGCTATTTTTCGATCACTCTTTACTTCGCAATACACAATATTCATTCTGAAAATTACTCGCATATTAATTACATAACTCGTTTTTTATCTTTTTCTTTCTATCAATTATTTCATTTTCTTATTGAATTTAATTAAATATTTCTTAAATGGTAATGATGTTTATTTAAGCGTTAAATATTTATAATACTAGCCAACATTGTTCCATTTTTTGTCTCTCCATTTCCTATTATCAGCACTTCTTTTCTTCTTTATTTAAAACATTCGCTGTTCTATTCTCGTCGTTTTCTAGCTCTATTTCCGTACAAGAATTCTAATAAAATGTTATACATGTGAATATATGTATTGAGGTCTGATGTATTAGCTATTCGAATAAAACTCAAACCAAATAATATGTTTGAATTCTTAATTTTTTTTATGCTTAATAATAATAACAAATACTGGAACGCAATATTTTTCTACTTTATTTAATTATCTTTTATATTTGTAACTTCGTCAACTAGAGTGTGGCGAATCAACATATTCTTGCTCTTATATTAATTTTTCAATCTTATAATAGCATACGAAGATTATCGGTGCCATGCGATATCCGTGTAGCAAAGGCTTGCCTTCCATGCTACATATGTTTAGATTTTTTAAGTTCTGTTTTCTTGCCTGAAACATTTATAAGATACGGTTGCTGAAATTCATATGCTTGTTCTATTGGTGTTGGATGTGTCAAACTTTCGCTTGTACTTGAATTTTTTCGGATTACTCGGATAAATTACGGCGACGCCCTTTTCTTCGCTTAGCAATTATTCTGAGTGATCCATGACATTGATAAGAATAAGATAATCTCGTAAATTATCAGTTTTATTTCATTTTAGGGTATGCTCCAATCTCTATAGCAAATCTCATTAATTTAATTTCTCCAAAATGTCCAAAGTTTTATCATTGTGATCATCTTAACTATTTATTTTTTCATTAATTTAATAATTATTCAATATTTCTTTTACTTTTGTCTAAGAAATTAGTATCACAAAACAATTGTGTTTGCATTATAAATTCTGTGATATCCACTATATTAAGAATCCTGTGATATCCACTATATTAAGAATTCTGTTCTTTCTATTTGTCTAGTATGAATCTTCTCTTCATTTTTCTTTCATACTTTTTTATATTTGAAAACATTATTACGAAAATGAGTGCTACGCGCAATGTGCGCATCTTTTCCTAGACGTGTGTATTATTTATATATTGTTACATCGTCCCCTGGCATTATGCAATTATCAATGCACTAGGAATACCAAAACCAAGCATACTCACTCACCTGTCAAGCTTGAGATTGAGTCTAACGTCCGGATACGTCTATTTGTGTTTTCTTTTTCTACATTTTTATTTGTTGTTTTTCGAAATTCTCTACTATCCATCGATTCCAGTGTTCAATCTTGTATCAATTGGCTACTTACTTCATAATTTATTTATTTATTTATTTTAGTCTACTTTAATTGTTACTTTTACGATTTATTTTTATTTTCTATTTCGCTTGATGCCTTGACATTTTAGGCCTTTCTACATAATATCCTTTTCCTGTTCCCTACCATTCCTTCTTATTTATTAATAACTACTTTCGCTCCATCTCTAAGGTTTTAATGTATTTACACTTTTACGTTTCTCGGATTTATTTACGTTTCTCTTTATTCGGATTATATCCAGTCACCGATGATTTTAATGACGCTTTTCGTCTTTTGAACCACTTATTTATCTTTTTTTCTATTCATTGCGCAAGCAATACACGAAGAAATTATGAAGAAATACTCAACGAATTTTTGAATTGCGTTAAAAGAGCATCGAAACTACGAGTGCTGCATAACCCACGTGTCTTGATTTAAAAAAATTTGTTTTCATTAATTTTGTTATTTCTATATATTATTATTTTTATAGCACTATTAATAATAAGTATTTTAGTATATTTTTTAATTGGCGTTGGAACATTCACATCAGTTTGATCTGCTAACTCTGTTAACAAAATCGTCGGCAACTCATCAACTTCACATTTTTTTTATGTTTTATAACTTCCATAATTGATTAAGATATAGTATCTAGAGCCAAGCGAGAACTAGTATCTTCAACTTTATTATAGTGATTATAATTATTATAAATATTATAATTTAACGTATCTCATTATCACTGACCCATCCAATAGACTCACTGCAGAGTGGCATATCTTTTATATATTTTTGTAAGCGCGCTCCGTGTAAAATGTATGTTTTCATTATTCTAATCTATATTATTACTATCATTATATATTCTTCGATATATATATATATATATATATATATATAATTTATATAACTTATTTATTGTTGATATCTATCGCTGGATGTGGTGGTAATAGTGTTTGTAGTAATAATAATAAATAAATTTTTATCTTTTTTGCGTGGGTATGCGTCTGTCGATTTTCTTGTTTTTCTCTTTCTCTTGCTTATTCCCTCTTCCTCAGTTTCTTTCGCTCTCTCTCTCTCTCTCTCTCGCCCGTTCTACATGTTGTGTATTTAGTAATAAGTTTCTTGTTCAAGCCAACCGCCTGGATATCGACGAAGGTAGAATCGTCTCGTTTCATCATAAATAAATATTGCGAGCATGAAAGGAATCGCTGGCAACCACCAAACAAATCTGCGATTACAAAAAATATTATTAATATCTTATGAAACATAATTATATGTAAAAATTATATGTAAAAAAACAATAAATACTATAATATTTTATGATAATATTTTATTCATTTTAAAGAAACTTATAAAAAATATGATTATATAGTTTACACGTAAGTTACCAAATTTAAATGAATAAATTGTTCAATAGTTTTTACAAAACTTACAGAATAGAATATTATAAATACTAAGAGTTTAAAATGATAGTAACAAAAATTAAAATTTAATATTTCAAGAAAAATTCACTCGAATCTTATTTTTTTAATTTAAAAAAAACATTTCTAATATAACTTAATAAATACTACCATTGGACACAAGTAAATGATACAACATTTTATATCTACATTTTTTATACACTACGTGTACTTCTAAAATATAAATATTTTGATAAAATTTTTAAAATATTATAGAATACAAAGAAATTTTTTTATTTATTTAAACAAAATTTAATTTTATTATAATTTAAGTAGCCATGTTACTACGAGCATTGTAATTTTTATATTTGACTTTCAGTATATTTAAAAGCTTGAAAATAATATTTATAAATTTTTTATATTATATTATATTATATTATATATTATTATATTTAATATATATTATATTAAATTTTTATATTATTTTATATATTTTTTATATATTAACAAATTTCAATAAGTGTTAGCAGAAAATACATACTTGAGCGGGAACATTCTGAGACCCTTATCCATTCCCGGAGTGTAACTTAGGAACGCGGCAAGTGCGGTTTCGAAGACCAAGCCAAAATTAAGTGCCCAGTTTCTCATACCTTGGTGAATTATCGAGTTACGACGTGTTTTACAAACAATCAAGTCAGCCCACTGTACAATTACAATTGATACAAAAAAGGCTGTGTGACATGTAAATTCCAAAGTCTTACGATCTCTATAAGTCTGTTAAAAAAAATAATGTATGATTACAATGGTATTTTCACTTTTTGTTAGTACTTTAATAGAATAATCTTTTCTTTTATTTTATTAGTATAATATCAAGTAGATGTTTATAATATTTGAAAAAAAAATATGTATACTTTTACTTAAAAGGTAAGTATAGTTAAATGGATTAGATATTATTGAAATTCATTCGCGTTCAATATTAGTATAATAAAAAGAAATATTACATAAAGTTATATGCTTTAAATAATTTATTTATAACTAATTCCAATGGTAGAAATATTAAATATTCCCAAATACATAAATGTTTTATTAGCGACTTTATAATAATATTGTTATCTTTACATGTATAAAGATAAATTGAATACTAAATTTCTTTGAATAAAATATAGTTAATAAAGATTAATATATGTAAAAAAAGAACAAATAAAATCTTCTAACTTATACGAAAATATATACAATAATGTTAAAAATCTTCTGAATGAATATCAATTTATGCATATAAGCGTACAATTACAAAATGGCTATTTTTAGATGGGAATTTCAACATTGTATTATGTACAAAGATTTCGATCAATATCTTATAAGCATCATACTTGATAGCATACTTTAGTCAGAAAATTGCAAGAAAATTCCTCCCTTATACTTAACATATAATCTGATTGTTTCTTATCAATTAATATTTCAATACGCTCATATCATATTAAAAAAAAAAATCAAAACATACCCATTCCTGACCATAGCTATCCGTTAAATCATTTATAGCTTTAGAATCCCACTGTTTTCGAATTCCGAAAAGATGTGTAGGAAGAAAACCATTTTCAGCCATAATAACAAAATAAACGAAGAATCCAGCGGCAGCTTGGATCATGCCAATTTGCCCGTATGCCATTGAGATGAGTCTATGAATTAATACACATGCAGCATTATTAAATTGCGATTGACTTGGATTATATTATTTATAGGAGTTTGAATCATATTTACTGAACTTTTTACTGAATTACTACCGTAAAATATATATCAATGAATTAAGTAATAGTATGAATAATATATGATAAGTGATATGATTTCGAGTAAATTACAGTGTATAAAATAAAATAATCAAATGGCATTGTTATACAAGAAGTATGATTATTTTTTTAATTTACGGCAATTTTAAGTTTAAATACTTCAAAGGACAGTAAAGCGACGCATAAATACTTGCTCTTGCCTTAATCTAGTATGAATATCTATAAGCTATTTGATTGAGTAACTGTTAGTAAATATAAATAAGCTAAAAAGTCTTCATTACAAAAGTAAGTAATTCTATAAAGGTTTACTTACCGTAAAGCTTGAAGTTAAGGATTTTTCTATACGATAAAAATATTTCACATTCTATGATAAATAAAGATTTATTCAATATCCATAAGCTTTATACGATTTCTCAGGGCACTTAGATATAATTGTATATATTACAGTTTTTTCAGTGATCATCTTTATTAATAAAATAAGGATTCCTAATAAATATATCATCCTTTTTATTACGTAATACTTAATCAATGGAAATTAACCAGCAGATGTTATATAGCTATTGCAAGTGATATAATCGATTGTATTTAACAAAAAGTTTCAACAAAAATGAAAGAACTAAATTATCTACGTCACATATTTATGAATCTTCATTAAAATTTTTTTTAATGTAACCGATTTTTTAACTTTATAATTATTCAAATACATTAATTCATATACATTAATGTTAATATTAAAAGCCATAAGCTATTTAATTTTAAAATTATAAAATGAAAATTTAAACAAAAATGTTACCTTGAATACTAATATTATTGCTTAATAAATTGATGCGTAATAAAAAAGTATTTTAAAATTATACAAATGAAATAAAATGTCTATGGATATTGAATAATATTTATTTAGAATCCATTCTGTAAAATGTATAGTATATATATTATGTACAATATGTTTTAATGTTGAATAAAATATTAAGAACCATTTATACATAAAAAAAATATGCTTTATAAAATGAAATAGTAATTGAATATTATTAAAACAATTAAATGTACAGAATAATAAAAATTGAAGAATGGTATTTATAGTTAGGGCAATTAAAATTTTATTATTTAATTTTCAATTTTTTCCATACCATGAAAAAACTAATGATAAAATTTAAAGAAAAGGTATTTATGGAAATTATATTTTTAATAAATCTTTTTTTTATCTATTTATGTAACTTATTTTTGTAATTTTTATAAAATGTATTATAAATATATATTATATTTCAAATGAAAGCGATATGAACAGGCATATCACAACAATCATGGACTATTCACAAATATTACCGCATTGTTAGCATAAACAAAAAATTTTTAAAAAATAATTAATTTTTTATATATAAATACAAAAAAATTTAATTTATATAAATAAATCAAATACCTTTTTTTGTATATAATTTTTTATTTTCTCACGCTCATTCAAATATAATTTCCATTCAGTATATGATATCGTAAAAAAAGTGATTCGAATAAAGTTCAAAATAAAGTTCAATTCCATGTTTTTCCGAGTATGTTATTGATTTTTTATTTTGAAATGAACATGAACAGCAACATGTTACCCACATAAATGGCTTCAATTATTTAGTAAATAAATGTCCTTTTCAACACTATTTTGTCTCATCGCAAATATACATGCACATAAACATTTTTGCATGCATTAATACATGCGATTATACATAAAATTTAAAAACTTTCTAATCGTATGCAGATTTAAAGCTCCACAGATGTACCCAAATATATAAGTACACATATGTGCTTCTATTCGGATATTAAGGTAGTAAGGATATTTTTCAGTATTCATTTTCCATAATTTCATGATTAAAAACAAATTTGGTTGATTCCTGTTATTTGAACTATTACCCTTTTAATTATTAAGTAATCAATAAGTATGAAGCATAAAAATCTAATGTATTAATCGTCTAAAAATAAAAATAAGTTAGAAGAAAATATCTATCATAATGAAAACGAGAAGACAAAGCATCAATCGATTAAAAAAATTGTTTTAGAAATGAAAAACTGCTATGAAAAAAATTAGTTTAATATTAACTAGGAGTTTATATTTTATTTTAAAACGAGAATATTACACTTAATTTTTTCTTTTATACAAATTAGAAATTTATACGGTAATTATTCTTATCGCAATAAAATAATTTGTATATTTTCTTGGTACGTATATTAATGATACTTAAAAAATTAAATTAATTTTTTCTAGTAAAACTAATAGCTTCTTTTCATAGAATATAAGAATTTTTAACTACAAACTCATAATTACATTAATAACAAGCATTATAGCTTCAATATTATAATAATTTCTTGATTCTCGTACCTGTTTTATGAATAACAATAATGTATTATCTAAAACTTCTACAATTTATAATAATATAAGTAAATTTACATGTCAAAAAAATTCTTGAAACTAATAATAACTATTTGTAATTATTATTTTTAATATTTTCTTTTATTTTCTTTTATTTTCTAACGCTGCAGTTATTTTCAGTTGTCAAGTTCACGAAACTAAGCATGCTTACAAATATTATGCTATCTTAATTTTAAGTACCCATTACAAAAACTCCGATGGCTGAGAAAATAATTGCTAAATTTAAACAAACTATTTTTTTCTTAATAATAAAAAGGTAGAAAAGCGAAAGACGCTTAAAAAAATATCGCCATTGGAATTTTGTCCATTGGTAAAGCATATTTTTATGTTTATAATTTTTATTTTCTTACTACTCCTTTATATTTTTGTATTACGAATACGAAATTACCGATAAAAATAAGTTTAATATAAATAGAAAAAATTTAATATATTTATAAGAATCTTGTGTAATATAATACAATATAAGAATTTTGTATTTGGCAATATATTTATCATTAGTGTTAATCTGTTATGTTCGCATTATTATGCAAACACACGCAATGACAATGATAGTGATGCACATCGGTATTACATATTACATAAACTATATAAATGTAAAGCATTCAACATTCTCGACATCGTCAATCCTCTAGTAGGTGATGTCATAGTATGTAAAAGTGAGAAAAATTTGTGCTACACTAATTTCTAAAGTCCTAAAGAGTCTGGGCAATGTCAGAGCAAGGAACATATATATATGTTTTGTCACAGTAAGGTATAAGTGTGCTAGATATAAGTATAAGTGTCACAATTAGGGATATGAAACAAAGAATAAGTTAGTAAAACGGATGATAGCGGAAGCAGTGAAAATGAAAATGAGAGGGAGATAGAGAGAGAGAGAGAGAGAGTAAATGCGAAAGAAAAATCAAATGTATCTTTTGAATATTATGTGGTTAAAACTTGTAATGATTTTAAGCATGTAGTTTTATTGCAAATACTTTTTGATATTATTAAAATGAAAGTTAAATAATTCATGAATTAATAACTCATTAATATCAAATTATTTCAAAATAATTTAATTTTATAAAATGTTTATATAAAAGAAATAATCATTTTAATTTATATAATTCAGTGGAATATATTTTAATTTAGACCTAATATTCTTTCCAGTGCATTTTTATATAATAAGTCTTTATATTTTCCATTAGATTTCTTTTATAACATTATTTAATACTTTTAATCATGGTTTCTTTAACATTATTTGTAATACTTTTAATTACAGTTAGATAACTATAAATTTTAACAATTGTTTAGGAAGATGTAAAAATAGAATAATTGTACAATTGTATCTAAAATTTAACAGGAAATTTTATCAAAATTTTATTAAAATTATGGTTTTATTAAAATTATATAAAAATATCGAAAAGATATTAAATATCAAAATGCTACATCAAAACAAAATCAAAGGCTAAGAACTTTTCATATTATTTTATAATTTTTAAATATTCTACGAATCTGAATAAGTTAACTTTTATTTAACTTCCATAAATACAGTTTGTATGTTCAGTCTAAAATGAAATCAAGATAAAGTAAATTAAAAATACAGTTTGAAAAGTAGAAAAAGGCTGATTATATCAAATGAACGTCGAGCAAGAGAGATGAAACAGAAAAGAAAAGAAAACAAGGGGTTGTTAAAAAATTGCAATAAAGATCGAAATTGGAAAAAAATTAAAAGGTATAAAAGTTTAATAAGGAGCCTTGTAAAGTGCAAAATATTTGTATTACGACATTACGGTTTGGTGGGTTTGTTGCAGGAGAGACCCACCTTCTATTCACAAGATTGTCTCTGTAAGGATCGCGAGGCTGCCGTTTCATAATGTCTGATTCCGGTGCTTCGTAGGCCAGTGAGATGGCCGGCACCTGCGTTATCCCGTATTAGTTAATTAGAATTAACGTGCCAACGACATCATTCCTAATTTATCAATTATGTATGTGGTGAGCACCTTAAGTGCTATACCATAAATATTCATTTCTAAACTTACATCTTAGATCGTCCATTCCATTCATTTCTTATTAATTATTTTACGCATTATTCAAATTCAACGTTACTTCAATTAGTTGCATATATTAATATAGTAGTAGTGCAAAAATCATGTTAATGTTTAGAAATATAATAATTACCAGTTACATCGATCAGAAAAAAAATAATAGTGAGATTTTAAGTAGTAAAAAGTCATCTGGCTCTACAAACAATTATACTTTAATTTTAAAAATTGTAAAAATGAAAATGATTAAATTTATAGAAAAATGGAAAATTTAGATATAAATATAGGAAAAGAAGCAGGTGACTTCTTAAAATAATTGTACATCAAAAATATAAGTCATAGCGGTAGAAAATAGCAAAATTTTAACTGCTTTCTTATACAGTATGTATAACTGTTGTATGAAACAACAATTTCTGTACTCGACCAGTATCAGTTTAAACAATTTTCATTGTTATTCA